GCCAGGGAAAGAAGACTATGGCTGAGGTCCCTGGAGATATCAAGAAATCTGGTTCTGGGTACTCAGGCCAAAGAAGCTGATAGCTCTGTAACTTTGAAGTTACTCAAACAATGAATGCTGGGAATCCTGCCACCTCTCACTCACTCATAAATAAAATACAAGCTTTTAGAACAACCTAGCACACTGTCTACGATATACCACCCTGAACACACTCAATCTCGTCAGAATAATCTGGCACTTACACTTCAGGACTGGGGTTTTCAGTCTCACGGCAACCAGTCATGTTCACTGTGAGAAATTCATTCTTTCAATTGCAATTATGGCTAAAACAACCCCATGTCTCATTGTAGGGTCATCCGTGCAAACATGAGCAACAAAGCCCCTAATGACGTTCCCAGCTTACTTTACCCGTTCTTAACCAAAACAACACCAGACACCTACATTTAACATGAGCTCTAACTGCATTTCTAAAACTGGCCTCTAATGATGTTCCTACCTGCCAAGAGGGAAAAAATTAAATATTTTGGCTGATGATTTTGCAAAGCTTACAACAAGGCCAATTACTAATCCTCTATAGGCTTGAGAGGTCAACGCATTACCAAACCCTGCACTTCAAGAAAACCTGTTTAAATACTGCTCCTGGGTCAATGAAGAAAGACTTGCACAGAGAGACCTTGAAGTAGATGACAGCAGCAGCGCCAGGTATCAGCAAGCTGGAGCTGTCTTGGAAGACTACCCCCAACTTTACGTGAGTCACAAGTAAGGCAAATCGGAAATAGAAGCAATTCCTTCCACAATGCTGAATGTCTTTTGGAGAAACAAACATGGAGCAGACTTGATTTCAGAAAACAATGGCCAAAGAAGTGGGTTTGAGTGGCATCTACTCTTTAGCTCCTTCTGCAGGCTTATCGTTATTTCAACAATTTCTGTTGTTCCCAATATATTTAATTTGGACTGAAATTAGTTCTAAGACATCTGATAAAATCTATTCTGAAGATGTGTTTATCTTTTGCAGAAAGCCAAGAAACTATAGAATGTAAATCCTAGCAATGGAGATTTTATAATTAAAACAAATCATTCTCTGAGCACCATACTGTTATGAAAACAAAATAAATGATAATGTCCATGATTGGAGAAGGTATCCTGAAAGGTGAGAATTATACCGTCCCTTCTGTTGGTTCCTAGAATCAATTTTCAGGTTATGATAGCTGCCCTAGGAGAAGAAAGCAGTATCTGTGCTCAAGCTAAAATCTGAGGACTCTGCTCTCAACTAGATCCAGGTCAGTAGTGACCAATTCTTTTCTTTAAATTTTAAGCTAATTCACTGTAGTTAGCCAAATTATTTTCACTGAAAATACTTTTTGTACTTAATTTGTAAAATGAAGCTTAATCATTTTCATTTAAAATAAATTTGAATGCAATAAAATGAAAATATCAATGGAAAACTATATAGGGAAAATTGTCAGAAAAGATGCTATTGAAAACTACAAAATTTGTGGATATTTATGCTTCACTAGCTTGACTGATGCTATTCTGTGTATATAGGTTTTAATTCTTTCCTCATTTCCTTAACTTCCACTCACCCCACTGAAGTTAGGAAATCCACTGAGATGACTTACTTCCTACTCATCATAATGTCATGGATAGAGACTACAAACAATTACAGACTGAACTTTCTAAAATCTAAAGGGACTCCCAGTGAAACTTTGAAATCATTCTGATGACTTCTTTGGCCATATTTTTTATTAAAAATATATGAGTAAGGGTTTAGGCAAGGATTGTAGAAAAAAGAGAAACAAATATTCATGACCTTTTCTAATGAAAATATATACTCACTCTTGACAATGCATATACAATTACTGGATATATTCAGTATTTCCACCTGTAGCTGTAAAAGCTTTAATTTTATTTTGATTGATCAAACTAATATCCAATGGAAAATATATTTCCCCAGTAACTAACATTTCTGTCTTGTGTATAAGAAACTCAGGGAAAATTCATGACAAATTCCACTCTACTTATAAAATGTGAGTATAATTGGATATCAAATCCAGAGCATTATCTAGATGTTTAAAAAATCACCTTCTCAAGAATTCATTTAAGCAATCTTGAAAACTCTGTGGGCGTCTTCTGAGCCAACTCCAAAAAACTAAAGGAAAGAAAACATGCGCTAGAAAGAACAAAAGCCATGGAAAGAATGCTCTTAAAGGAATTCTTATAGTTTCCTGGCATTTTGAAGGGGGGAAAAAAAACCTATATCTGATCTTTCTCTGTATCTATGTGTACATTCATCTGGCAGGAAGGAATAACCTCATAGAAAACTGTTGTAAGATACAGTAATGCTTGGCAACTACACATTCCACAGTTAAATAATGCTGTATTTACACATATATAAATATTCATGCCAATCAATATGAAGGTAAAATTTAAATATAACTCTATCAACCAGTTTGTTTTCAAAATTGAAAGACAGACACTCGAGAGATATTTAGAGCTTGGATTCAACAGTAAGCAGATTCATAATAACACCTTGTTTTCATGGTGCTATTGAATTGTCAATATTCAGTTAAAATTAGCAAAATTTCATTTCCATAAGTCTTCCTTATGACTATCTTTAAAGTACCTGAAATGCATGGAAGGGAACCAGATAATGGGATATATTGATACTGAAATGGCATCACTCAGAAACAACTGTGATCTTTCCAGATGGACCACATGCTCACTTATCAAGCTGATTCTATGGAAAAGATTAGCAATGTAACTGAATTCATCCTACTGGGCTTGACCCAGAATCCAGAATTACGAAAAATCTTATTTGCTGTGATATTAACCGCCTACCTGATCACACTGACAGGAAACCTGCTCATCTCAGTCATCATCTTCATCACCCCAGCCCTGGGTTCTCCCATGTACTTTTTTCTGGCCTATTTGTCCTTCATAGATGGTTTCTACTCTTCTTCTATAGCACCCAAAATGATCTATGACTTGATCTATGAAAAGAACATTATATCCTTCAATGGCTGCATGACCCAGCTCTTTGCTGAACACTTCTTTGCTGCAGCTGAGATCATTGTGTTAATGGTCATGGCCTATGACCGCTATGTGGCCATCTGTAAGCCCTTACACTACATGACCATCATGAGATGGCCTGTGTGTGTTTTTCTGGTGGGAACAACGGGAATTTTGGGGTTTATTCATGCAGGGATCCAGATTTTATTCATGGTCCAGTTACCATTCTGTGGCCCCAATGTCATTGACCATTTCATGTGTGACTTAATCCCTCTCTTGGAGCTAGCCTGCACGGACACTCACACTTTGGGACCCCTGATTGCTGCCAACAGTGGCTCACTGTGTATGATTATTTTTTCTATGCTGCTTACTTCCTACATTGTCATCCTGCGCTCCCTGAGAAACCACAGTGCTG